GATTGAGAACAGATCCTGCCCCTCTAAGCTAACAGATTTCTCAACTTGAAGTACAATACACAGAAACGGCTGGGTCTCACTCTTGAGAACCGATCATTAACAACATTTTGATAATTCCAAATGGCTGCAAAAAACTGAAGGCTAAGGATGTTATTCCTGCAAAGGACTGGCTAATACCCTAGAGTGACTGGTGGCCATCTCATTAACGGAAGCCTAGGACGGACATCATCCTCAGGGCTGGAAGGCATGACCACAGAAGGCTGTTTTGTCGTACACGAAAGAAATACACTCTGACTCTTGCAATGAAGCAGAAAACAGCTCAGAAATGCTTGGCCCTTTGGATGGAGAAAGGGTTTACTCAGAAAACGCCAGACGTGCCTGCAAATAAAACATCTGGGCCGCGACAACGTTCGCCGTCTCAAGAGCCCGCTGGTTGGGGATCATGGGAATCGTTGTCTAATGGGTCTGCAGGACATCAGGTTGGGGAACGTTGCTCCCTTCTAACCTCAAACCACTGTATTTTTCTACTTAAGAATCTTAATTGAGATCCAGATCCCACCCATCAAGCCCAATATTGTTGACACTGGCTGGCAGCCATTGCTCTAAGAGGATGATGAAGATGATGATCTCCCCATAGATTTAGGAAGAGGGGCTCAGAGGGGTTTCATACTCCCCTCTCCCCCCCAAAAAAACCTTGGCTGGTTTTGGGATCTACACACCTTGAACTAGAAGGGGTGTTTTTTTGCTGCTTGGCCTCAGGCAGCAAAATATCTTGGGCGTAAATGGCCTCAGCAGCCTTGCCACCACCTATTAAGTTTAAATTAGCCCCTCTGGCAATTTCCAAATGGTAATTTTTCTTCTTCTCTTCAGCAGAAAAGAGCTTTGACATATAATTTCTACACACACACACCATTTCTCGCTGGAAGATCATTTAGAAGGAAGGCGCCCCGCCTGAGCGATCACCCTCCCCTAGCAACCACGACGAAGAAAGGCTAATTATTCCTCTCAGGGCTAATCATCCTCATTGAGTTCTCTCTGTACACCTTGTGCCACCTTTCGAGAATTTCTGGTGTTGTTGCATTTCCATTTTTTAAAAAATGAAATGACATGAAAAGAAAATGAAAAATCAGAAAGCGTTCTCCCGCTGGGAATGCGTTCGGCGAAAAGGGATTTTGGGGGGAGGAAAGAGGGTTGATTTCTCTCTCTCTCCCCCACGGCCACCTCAGACGAGCTTTCAAAATGCTAAAAATAAATAAAATCAGATATTTACAGCCATAGTGACATCTCCGGATCAGTAGCCCTGAAGGCTAAGCAAAGTGCTCTTGGATTCTCTGCATGATCAAAAATCAAGATAAAAACCAGCATTTACTGTTACTGACACGAAGGATGGAGTGGAAGAAATTAAATTTCAAATGTTGCATCAAGATTATATCAAAAGTATTAGGAAGTACACATTACTGCAATCTCAAAAATACATATATTAGCTCTTGTGACCTCTTCAGCTGACCACTATACACCACTGCCTCTCAGGTTGGTGGCCACAGGGAGGAATTTAAAAAAAAAAGATAATTCACACCTTCATTCAAATAAAAAAGCTGGCTTTTGTTATGATCGTTCAATGAGTTATTGATTTATTTTTTTGGGGGGGGGGAGAGTGTCTTATTTTTAAAGCCTTGAAATTCAGATAGAAATCTACCAGCAGATCTTTCGCCACCTCCTGTCGATCCCTGGATCGTAAAAATCTCTTTCTAGACGTCCTTTTCCAAGTCTTGACTTATCCGGGCAGGGTGATTTGCAAAAGAGCAGAGGCATATACCTGTTTAATCCTTCTTGGCCTATTATCTCCCTCCCGGCAAGATCTGTTCAACCACCTCCTACCTCTGCTGCTTCACAGTGCCACGTTCTATGCTACAGATAGCCTGCTATTAGAAAGGGAGGCTCGTTAGCGGCTGCTGATAGCTGGTAGTGACAGAAGGAGCTTTTCCACACCTCCTCTCGTTTGCAGATTATCCTGTTTTGATTTCAAACTGCTCCTTGTATGTGTGTGGGTGTGTCTTTGTTTGTAAGTACGAGTTCGCGGTTCCAAAGCTCTTCCTGAATCATGTTTCTACAACACCAACAGGGCTCGGCCTCCAAAGAGGAGCTGCCTGGAGTGTATAAATTGGCATCGAGAAGAAAGACAGTGGATGGAAGCAGGGAAGAAAACAACCCCACGGGCCTCCTGCTATAAATCCATTTATCTGCCAAATTCTGCATTTGATTTTCTCGAACAAAAGCCAGCCAGTGTGCGCAGAGTTATTTCTTTTAACAACAAAATGTCATCTGTGGGAGAGAATATAAGGTACCCTATTGCAGTGTAACTCCTTTGGCGAGGGATTATTCCTCCTCTAATGGTTATGACAAGCATGAATTCTGCCATAGTGCAATTGCATTGTTATTGATGTTTGCTTTGAGATTACTCCCCCCTTCTCTCTCATTCTCTCTCTTTTAAGACAGAGTTCATTTGCAGCTAAGCAACGGAACTATATACACTTTCAGTCTGGTTTTTAACATCGGAAGCCCTTTATCAAATCATGGCAAATTGGTGGCCGGGGTGGGGAGAGGCTTAAGGGCAACAGCCACGAAACCATTTCCAAATTAAAATAATGAGCATTCGCCTCCCGGAGAAAGCACACACACTTATCTACACACACACACACATGACCGCCTTCAAAGTTTATTTACAGTTACTCGGAGGAAAACGCCATCAGCCATGAGAAACGAACCGTCTGTATTTACACACAGCGGAGCAGGGGGGGTTCTTTATAAATGCAAACTGCAATAGCCTAAACACATGGGAATTTTCAGATTCATGCAGTGCTCCAACTTAAGCTACTTAAGTTACTTGGGCATCGGACTGCCAGAAGTTACCAATATCTGTGCTTTAATCATCTTTGAGGGCTCCCTTGGCCACAGTTCTGGAAAATGGACATAAATGCACACCCACCACATTAGAAATCCAAACAAGACAGAGAGAAAAATGAGATTTTAGCCACCAGCCACTGCATTTAGAAGGTATAAATCGCAATCGTTTTGGAATGGGGGACTTTAGTTCACCATCAAACCCAACTCCCTGGGATCCATCTAGCGAATGCGATCTTGTGCTTGTCAATTGCAATAAGTGAGATATTTAAGGAGTGGTTTCACCGGTTCCAGTGAGTTTCCGTGGCTGAGCAGGAATTCAGACCCAGATCCCCAGAGTCCTACTCCATCACTCTATCTGAGTTGAGCCGATGGGCATTTAGACTAGCAATTGGCCAAGGAGGATATTTGGGCTGTGACCTTGGACTCGGAGGGGCCGAGCTGGCTTAGAGGAAGGAGAAAGTGGCTAGTGGGGTAGGAAAGGCTACGTCCAGAAAAGGACCAACCAAAAGAGAGAAGGCAGGAGAGGAAGATCTGCCTCATGTCCTCCCCAAGAGGGGGAAAGTGGTGTGTGTTTTCAATTGATAGAGAAACACATGGAAGAGATGTCTATAGAAAGGAGACGAATGACTTTGGAGGAGAGGTATTTGAAGGAGACTCTGTCAGCCATCATTAATTAATTGGTTGGTTGGTTGGTTGTCTGTCTGTCTGTCTGTCTGGCTGGCTGGCTGGCTGGCTGGCTGGCTGGCTGGCTGGCTGGCTGGCTGGCTGGCTGGCTGGCTGGCTGGCTGGCTGGCTGGCTGGCTGGCTGGCTGGCTGGCTGGCTGGCTGGCTGGCTGGCTGGCTGGCTGGCTGGCTGGCTGGCTGGCTGGCTGGCTGGCTGGCTGGCTGGCTGGCTGGCTGGCTGGCTGGCTGGCTGGCTGGCTGGCTGGCTGGCTGGCTGGCTGGCTGGCTGGTTGACTGCCTGACTGACTGACTGACTGACTGATTGCACTGTGTCCCATCATTCTTCCAATGAGTTCAAGGCAGCATCCATGGCTCACCTCCTCTCCATTTATCCCACAACATCCCCGTGAGGTAGATCGGGTGGAGAGAAAGGGTGGCTAGCCCAAGGCGTGTTTCATGGCTCCGCAGAGATGCAAACCTGCCTTGCCCCAGTTTTTAGTCGGATGCCCTAACCACTGCACGGCACCATCTCTAATTGATACTGTATGCAATTTAAGGTTGGCTATCTATTCCGCAAGTAAGTAAATAGAGAATAGGTGCTTCAAACACCCGCTGGGGTCTTACGTGTTTCAGAAATTTAAACAGGGCACACGCATGTGCAGTTTGGCAATTTGGAGAAGTTCCTTTTGTGAATGAAGCCCTCCAGACTTTGGCATGTCATCCGAGGCCACATCTACGCCGTTCAGCGGGTCTTACTCTCCATGTGTATAGGATCCCAGGGTTTTTCATGCAGATTTCCCCCCCCCTTGATGGCCAGTACTCTCTCCTTGGGGTTTGCACTTTAATTAGTCTCTCTCTGAGATTTTAAGCCTCCTTCCTTTCCAGCCCCCTCCACACAGGGTGGACACAACTGTTCCAACCATGTCTTGAGCATCACGTGAGAAAGCCAGCTCTAACCAAGGAGAATGGAGAGTGCCGGGGGAGGGGGGAGTGAGAGACTAGCCATGCCCAATAACTGGTTTTTGGAGAGCATTTTTGGCTGGGGGGGGATTCAGTATCATGGAGAGCGCAAGGAGGAAACGGACGGCGCCCGCATGCCGCATCCGCCATCCGGCGCCAGGAAAGCAGAGGACTCGGTTGGGAGGAAAGGCGCGCCTTCTTTAAGGATCCACACTTAGAAGAGCACAGCGGAAAGGCGCAGCCCGCGGGACTCCCCATCATCCTCCAGCACGGCGCAAGGGCAGAGCGTAAAGGCAACGAGCGGTCAGCACCACGGAGAGCGCCCTGGGCGCATCGTTTCCACGCTGGCCATCTGGAGACGCGGTTCGTGCGCCCTGGCGCATCCTTCCCTCGGGCGTCTTTCGCCCTTCTCCCGCCCTCTCGCTACCCCCCCCAACCCCCATCCCAGCTTGCAAAGAAGGGGCTGCGCTTACCTGTCGTCGTTCTGGAAACTCTGGTCCCCCAAAAGTAAATCCCGAAACCGGTAGCGAGGCGGCAAGGGGAGCACCTCCGAGTCCAGGTCGCTCATGGTCAAGGAGGAGATGTCCAGGAGGACCCCGCTCTTGCTGTTCCCACCGCCGACGCCTCCGTAGCCCCCCGGGGAAGACGACTTGAGTCTGGTGGGAGGGAAAGGATAAGGAAGGAGGTGAGCCGATGGGAGCGATGAATAAAACTCGCCCTGCCCGCTGCTGGATGGAAGCGTCAAGGCGGGGAGGAACGATCGCGGCGCAGCCTGGATTTTGGCTGCGATATCTCAGCTTTTCATCCTCTCCCCCGGGTACCAGCTGAAGTTTCCTCTGGAATTTGGGGGGAGGCTGTTTCCCTGGGAAATGGGGAGGGTGTTGCCAAAAAACGATCCGGATCCCACCCGGTTTCTTCTGCTCGTCCGGGGCTCCGCTCCCCCTCTGGCGGTCAGGACACTGGCGGGCGCGCACAGATGCGCACAAACACACGCCAGATCTCCGGAGTGGCAGCTTGCAGGGCTGGCACGCAACCCCACCGAGCAGAATCGGAAGGGTTTCTAGACTGGGGTGTCTATCCAGCCACCGTGGGAAGAGATGGATGGGGTTGGATCCTCTTTCAAGGAAAGAAGAGCTGTCTAGAGGGCTATCTGCCTTCAGAGCCGGAGGCTGGGGGTTCGAATCCCCCCCCACGGGGCTTCCTGGGAGAAGAGCCCGCCTGGGTGGCCTTGGGCCAGCTGCCTCCAGTCCCTGCACGCCTCCAGAAGGAGGGAATTTTGAACCAATCAATAATAATAATAGTAATTATCAGTTTGGGAACAATACCAAGAAATTTCACACAGTAGTTGCAGATCTCAGAAATGACACCATCAGTGCTACAAAAAAAGAGGCAATATCAGGAACAGCACACATATTGCACCAATATTTAACAGATACTTAGGTTCTGAGTTAAAATTAGTATCTGTTATATGGTGCCAGTCAATATTTTTACAATTTTGACTGGCTCTGCCTGGTGTTTTTGAATAATACTGATTTTAGAACTGCAGAGTTTGAAGGGACCCTGTGGGTCATCTAGTCCAGCCCCTTTCAAGGAGGCCTGGAGGGGAATCGAACTCCCAACTGAGCTATCCAGAAGTTCTGAGGATGCTCTGCCTGGAAAACCCTGGAAAGGTCAGCCTGAACCAGACTCGGCAGCGTATGGTTAAAGGAAAGAAGAGGAGGGTTGTGGGATGGGTCTGGAAGTGAGCCCACCTTGCAGAAGGCAAAGCATCGGCTCAAGTCTGCAAACGGAAGGATGAGGAAAGAGGAGAAGAATCGGTGCCAAGGGATGTAACAGGAAAAGAGACAAAACTGGCATATAAGAAGCCTCTCACCCTTTGGGACATTTATTTTGCTTTTATTCTTATCTTTGTATCCCACCTTCCTTCCGACTGACTCAAGCCAGCATCCATGCACGCTTAACCGAACCAGCTTTTCTTCACAACGACATTGCAAGGTAGGACAGAGGCCGGGCTAAGGTGACGTAATGACCTTCTCAGCCTGCTGTGGTCTAGAATCTGGACCTCTCAAGTCGCCACCCACTCGCCATCTGATACTTAACACACACACAGACAGAACTATAACCTCTACACCTCACTGCCTCTCATTGCCCACATATTGTGTACATATTTGCACACACACACAGAGGACAGTATCCGGGCTTCGGGGTCAGCAAAAGCCAACGTCACAAAGCCAAACAAAAAATTACACAGTGTGGCATATAGAAAACGGAAGCGTTTATTTTCCTGCACGCTTTTGGGGATTGTCACCCATTGCCTGACACAAACACACTGACTCATCCCCAGGAAGGGGTGTGTGAAAGCCCACTCAGAAATAAATCAGTTTGATTTTGTGTGTTTCTCTCTCTCTCTCTCTTTCCCCTTTGTTTCAGGAATACACACGAGTGTTCCTGTTACACACTGAAGAAACAGACTCGCACAGCCACCACCCTCTCGAAAACTCTGTGCAAAAACAGCAGCCGCTTGGCGTTCAACGGGTTCGTGCGAAGCCAACCAGCCAAAGTGAAATTAAAAACTAATCGCATAACTAATAGAGACAAGGAAGTTAGATTGAGATTCTTAAAAAGCTGCAGTTAGTTCACATCTAGATTTCTACAGCACATCTATAGGATATCCTGAAAATTAGGGCGTTCCCATTAAAATCCCAATTCATCATAAGCTCACCCTTTGTTAAACCAGCTCACATGGATAATTGACTTCGGTTCGCTGTTCACACGCACTTGCAGTGGAAAATGGACCTGGTAGTGTTTGTTCTTTCAACTTTAACTGGAACTCATTGTTTAAAAAAGTTTCTGTTGTGGCAGAAGGCTCTTCTCTGCTTAAGGCAGAGGCTGGCCAAATATGCCGTTCTCGGACGACACAATCCTCATCGTGAAATTATCCTAAAAATGTACATTTACTCCAACACGTGAGAAAACTTGCGAAAGACTTAAAAAGGGTGCCCTTAAAAGCCCATTCTGCCTCCTCTCCCACAGGGGATGGAGGAGCAAAAGACAGTCTACATTTTTGCTGAACGTGACATTGAACCACCAAAGCAAAGTTAATTGTCTGCATTTTGCACATTTTTGCCCTGAGGCCCTTCGCTGAATTCTATTCCCCTCCTGAGCAAAATCCAGCTGATTTCCTTTTTTTCCCCCATTCCAGGAGCCAGCTTGCCAGACGGTTTTGGTGCCAGGTGTTCGTCCATTTGACTTACAAGAGTCTAAAACCAACGATCCGTTTGACCTTTCTCATGACAGTCTCCCCAGAGATCACTATCTTGATATGCACTAATTCTGTTGCTCTGCCAACTTCCCCAATGACTAGGATTGTCAAACCTTATTTATCTTGGTCTTGAACGGCAGGAAAGAAAGCATCAAATATATATATATATTTTGGGGTGTAGGGATGAGGTTCAGTGGAAATTTGTAGTCGGCCCCGCTTAATGATTACCCCGCATTACGACAAATCCGCTTACCGACAATGTTTTCGTGATCGCAAAACAATGTTTTAAATAGTTTTTTTTTCGCTTTGTGAAGATCAGTTCCCTGCTTCGGTAATTCTGTGTGCACAACAGCATGCAAACAAGGTGCTGTGTGCAGGGGTCTTCTCCTAAAAATAAAGATGCTAGTCCTCATGGCTCAAAATTAAAGGCTAAGCTCAACAGAAACGTTGGAACTGCCTTTAATCCATCTAGCCCTATATTGTCAACTCTGGGCAGCAACCAGAAGTATTTCCTAGCCCTAGCCCTAGCTGGAGATGCAATGGATTGAAGCCAGGACCTTCTGCATGCAGAGAAGTATTTCCTAGCCCTAGCCCTAGCTGCAGATGCAATGGATTGACCTTCTCCATGCAATTGAGGTGCATGTCGTCATCAAGATCTCCTTTTGAATGCAGACAGAGTTCAGATACGGCACCGCTCCAATATCCCCACCTTATGCATTGACTCAAGTAACATCACAGAAGAAAAGAAGAATATGGAAAAAATCTGTTCCCAACCATACCATTTCTCTGCACTTAATAACTTTTCTCGGAACCTCAGTTTGTTTAGCTACTGCCGCTGTGTTCAGCAAAGCCGGACCCTTAGTGGAAGCCGGTGGCCCTGATGTCCATGGAGTGGTGAATCAGCTATCCAAGGTGTTGTGCACCTATCCACAAAGTAGCTCCAGTGTCTCTCATAGCTTTTTTTAAAGTTCGGGCTAAAACCCGTAGCAGATTCACCATCTCGCCAGCCTCATGCAGGCAAAATCTAGCAGATGCAATAGACATATATTTCCCCCAAAGTACGTTTGTATGTCCCCGCCCGGTGTAATGATGCGGCAGGGTGAGCCCATCCCAGCTCCACGGAGCCGATGCAGAGGGGCGACAGGCAACCTCGCCTGAAAGCAGACAATCCATTGTCTTGTTATTACCCACATTTCCAACCATGCTTGATATAGAGAGATGGGAGAGAGTAACGTGACTCAATTGGAGGCCAATTAGAAGAAAGCCGAGTCAAAAACCAGGGAATCCTTCAGAGACTCAAAAGCCGTACCTGTGACATTTCAAGAAAATTTGGAAGGCAAGTGGCCTGTAGGTTTATATTCAGACTTACACCCTAAAACCCATGAGAATTTTCTTTTTAAAGTTGCTCTGTGCCAGCAAGTAGCTTTTGATGTACACAACCTTCTGAATATCTTCCCAAAAGGTCCTGTCATTAACTGGCCGGTGAACTCAAGGTCGTGGTTTCCTTGATGGTGTCAACCCATCTTGTATTTTGCCCGCCCTCTCTCCCTGCGGCGTCAAACTTCCAGCACCATTTTTAAAACTCCATTCTCATTTAACCCCCCAAAGACCAAACAGATCAGATCACCCAATATTGCTCACTGCTGGGACCTCCCTGGTGCCAGCCAGCCAGGGCGTCTCGTCTTCTGCCAGACACTAACCTCATCCGCTTTCCAGCCACATCATCCCTCCTCGAGTAACATCTCACCGTCATCTTGGGCGCGAGCATGCTGGGGCCGAAGCTGGAGCATCAAACCCTCGAGACGCAGGCTTTCTTCAGATTAAGCGCTGCAAAAGGGGGACCCCCCTCTCCAGCCGGCTCCCGCCGCGTCCCCAGGCACAGAGAAAAGCCATTTCGGAAAAATCCATGGAAGGATGATCAGAGCCCTGCTTTATTCTCCTCCGAAAAGAATCGCGAAGGGTGGGGGCGAGGACCGTTCCCTTCTTCACGGCTCCCGAGAGACGACAGCCTGTTCAGAGAGCCGCCAAGAGGACTATCCGTAATCTCAAGTGACAAGGATAAAGCCACACGCTGTACCCAAAAAAGGGAAGCAGGCGGTCCGGCTTCCGTGCAGACGAAAGGGTACAAGCCATGCCCGTTTCTATGAGACACTCCGGTGCCTCTCTGTAGCCATGTGCTGCTAGCGGATGATGCCAAGGAAGAAGGAGGAGGAGAGAGGAAAAAATCCTCCAGATGCTTTGGAAGACAGCCAGAAAAGCTGGAAAGATGAACTGATGCCTTTTCCAGATGCTTTGGAAGACAGCCAGAAAAGCCTTCCCTAGCTGGAAAGATGAACTGATGCCTTTCACCTCCAAACACGTATTGCTGGCTATTAATCATACGTTTTGCTCGGAGAAGACAAGAACCAGGGAGCGGCGTTGTACATGCGAAGCTGCTGTCGTCTAGCGTGACCCGGACAAAAGGGTTGGGTTGGATGATGAAGGAGGCTGGGGAGGCGTGATTCAAGGCCGAGGCATGCCCATTAATAATCCGCCACCTTCCTTTCTGACTTTAGAGGAATCCTATTGGCATGATGAGCTGGTCCACAAAATGAGTGTCACAAAGGAAGCGACTCGTGCCATGGGGTGGGTTTCTCGGGTGCGGGAAATCTGCTCCGAGTTTTCCCCTGAACTTTACAAGCATTGTCCAAGGTGCTGAACCTATGGGGGGGGATAGGGTTCAGCACCAGGGATAGCTCCTGCAAAGTGTGGAGGAAAACCTGGAACGGATTCCGCTCCACTATGGAACTGGAGTCCGCAGCCAAAGTTGGACTCTCAGGGAGTGGACCACCAACCTTTGGCTGGCCACTGACCTTGGACAGAGCAAGAAGGGGGCAGCCTTGGTCATCCATCAGCTGTTGAGTGCTGGACTAGGAATCCCGAGTCCCGGGTTCGAATTCCCACTCGGCCACAAAGTTCACCAGACAACACTGGGCCCCTTTATGCCAAGATCCGAAGTAAGAAGGGCTTGGTCCTCAATGGAGGAGACGGGATATAAAGACAGTCAAGAGATAAAAATGAAAGTCTCCATACAATGGAATAATATCTTTGTGCAATATCTTTCCCCGGGTCTGGCGACGTGACGCTCAACCGTGGTATAGCAGGGGTTAATTTCCATACGTCACAACCTGTTCAAGACTTTCCCTCATGTGACATCTAAGGCATAGCACATGCACAGTTAAATTAATATCCCATCACCTGCAGGAGAACCTTTTTTAAAATTATTGTTTTTACAATTATGTTTTCCAGATATTGCAGTAAAGCCACGGTGAATCTGTAATGCTGCCATTTTTAGCCACCGATGGGATGATTATTTCTTGCTTCTGTTTACTCCCAGGGGTACCATAGCGACTTTTAATACCTGTAAAACTTACTGTTAAATTGTAAATAGACTAACAGAATACTGCTAACCATATAAATGTCCAAGTCGGGGATTAAATAAATGTCCCTTTCGGCAATGGATATACATTTTTCTTCCCTGGTGGGACCCAGGTTGTTTGATAGAAATATTGGTCGGGCATGAGATACAGAGGCGTATCAACTGATCATTGGCGGGTTGCTCCCCAAAATCTGCCAGTGGAGTCCATTTCCTCCCTCCTCCAACGACAGGGCCAGCCCGGATATGAAGACACTACAGACATCAACCATGCCCTGTGACTGAAGCCAGAAACATGGGGGTGAATATCAGGATTCCGACAGAAGATGTCTCATCAAAGAGAGACAGGCAGCAAGAAAAAAGGAACTTCGTTGGACATGATCTTTACTAAGAAGATGTCTCATCAAAGAGAGACAGGCAGAAAGAAAAAAAAACATCGTTGGACATGATCTTTGCTAAAGTACCGCATTTCTCTGTGTATAAGACGCCCCCATGTATAAGACCTCCACACACTTTTCTAATCCAAAATTAAGAAATCTAAGTGGGGCTTAGCTTGGGTGGGGGGGAAAGGGATCAAAGCGCTGCAGGATCGCTTTGATCCCTGCTTTCCCCTCCACTTGTTTTTGTTCTCTCCGCAGCTGACTTCCGTGTATAAGACAACCCTCAATTTTTAGTCTAAAGATTTTAGGCAAAAGTATAGTCTTATACACAGAAAAATACGGTAAGTAAATAGGGACCCAACGCTTTTGCAAAGCAGAGGGAAGGAACAGAGAAGGTAATGCAGCCTGCTTCTTCATTTCCCCAGCGGTATTTTCCCATTTGGCTTTAGGAGATGATGATGATCACGGTAGCTTCCGTGACTCATTAATGCAATTAGCAATGTGTGACAGCCCAGAAGGGATCGGGGAACGACGGAGCAGGCCGGCAGAGCCTCCGAATCTCCGAACAGGAAAATCACCCGAGACACCACCGTGTGCCCATTTCTTTGGGGGGGGGGCATGTGCCCATTTCTTGGGGGGGGGGGTCAGCCACGCCAGGAAAAGAAGGGGGTGAAACATTTCAGGGGGCGCTTAGGGTGGCTTAGGACGAAATGCCATAAATATCACTAAGGCCAAGAGGGAAGAAAGGCTTCTGACAAAGCACAGCTTAGAGAGAAACAAAGAAGCAGGGGAAGTGGTGAGCGGGGAGCCGGGTGCGAATTTCGATCAGTTTGTTTGTTGGCAAGAGTTTTCCGGCGTCCTTAGAGGTTAAAGGAAAGAGGAACAAATCCAGTCAATAGATCCTCGTTTCAATTTGTCATCAATGCTGGTGCGAATTTCAATCAGTTTGTTTGTTGGCAAGAGTTTTCAGGCGTCCTTAGAGGTTAAAGGAAAGAGGAACAAACCCAGTCTATAGATCCTTGTTTCAATTTGTCATCAATGCTAACAAGACTTTGACCCAACTCTGGGAGGCTGTGGAAGACAGGAGGGCCTGGCATGCTCTGGTCCGTGAGGTCACAAAGAGTCGGACACAACAACTAAACAACAATAAAAAGTAGGGAGAGATGCTTTCTCTTACATGGTGTGGATGGTGGCGTCTTCAGCAGCCCCGGTGGCCTCTGGCATCAGCATTCTCTCCGTTTCCATGTTTCTGGACGATGAGTAAATGTAGAGCTTTCTCTCTGAGCCCAGACCCCAACACGGGGGGTGGGGGTCTGGTTAAGTATTTGTAGGTTTTTCCCCCTTATGGTATAGACTCTGGATGCTCAAAGTTCAACCTTAATTGCCCACTCAGGAAAAGATGGAGAAGCAAAGAAATGGGGACAGCTTCAAGGTGTAATAAAAGACCAGGTTTGCAACTTTTGACACTTTTTTGCCATTTAACCCTCTAATGTCCCAACCTTTCCCCCCTCCTCCCACAGCCTTACCTGCGGAACTCCCTGCCTCAGGATATTTCCAGCTACCGCGGAATCCTTAATCCGACGTTCAGAGCTTGCGCCGAGATTTCACCTCTGTTCAGAAGTAAGAACCTCTCTGCTCCCTTTTCATCATTGAAATGAAAAAAATAAAATAAAAGGTTGATCCTGCACGTCAGTTGCTCCTGGGGAACTGTGTACAACTTGGGAATAACTCTGCTTTGGAAGCAAGTAATCATTTGACCATCTAAGGGCCCATTTCATGGGCTTCTCAAAGTGCCCCCCCCCAGCTGGCTGCAATAGTGCTTCCCAAGAGACTTTCGTTACGGTACGCTTCGTGCATTATTTGAGTTTCAAATCAGTTATAAATAGATGGTTATAAATAACTCTTTGGTCCCCCTTCCACAGCCAAACCTGGGAGCTACCAAACCAGAAGCAAATAAAATATTTCCACCTGTTTTGGTGACCAAAACATGGAGTCTCTTTTTTTTGCTGCATTTCTGCCGCACCGGACAGCTTTAAGGCCCTACCACTCACCGGCGCGTTCGAGGCCACCTCTGTTCCGGGAGATCTTGAACAAAGTTTGCTGATCAATGCCAACTCTTTTGAAACACAAGCCGCTATTTCCTCCCTCCTCCTCCTCTCTGCGCCACCTCAACCTCTTGAGAAGTCCAGATTGTTTTGGAGATGAATTTCCCCGTCTTTCGCACGCGTTGCGTTCCATGGGAAAGACAAACCCTCCAGGGTTTCCTTACATGGGCAAGAGGGAAGAGTCAAGGATTTCCCACGAGACGAGGGCTCGGAAGGAACCAGCAACGCCAAAAGGGAGACGAGAGAGGGAGCCGCGGATCAGCTCCCCAAGGGCCAGATCAAATTCCAGTCCAAAGAAACCTTGCAAGTGTTCGGCACCCTAATGCAGCAAGTTCCAAAGCTGCTGAGGCACAGCCCCCATCATCCTCATCCCCTGAACGGAGATGATAACTCTGTGCATTGATTTTCAGGGAGGGGGGCTGGAATTCGGAGACTTGGCTTCTAAATAGGCCTCTTTTTTGCTAGCCCTAAACTATCAGGATAGCTCAGTAATTTAAGTCTCTGGCTGGAAATCAAAGATTGTGGGTTCGATTCCCCACTTGGGGCAAGAGCCAGCCTGTGTAGCCTTGGGGAAGCTGCACTGTCCCAGGGTGCCCCTAGTGGAAGGAAAGGGTAAAGCACTTCTGTGTATTCTGAGAAGGGTTGTCATAAATCAGAACTGACTCAGTGTGCGTGGTTATTATTAAATCTTAGTGGAATGCCCCCAAGAGCTTTACAAAGAATGCCACTTGCTCCTGCAAGCTAGACGGAGATATTTTCTTTTTTAGCTCTGCAAAGAGCAGGAGGGGAGGTTCGCCTGCATCGTCCGCTCACCCTCTGGCTTGTTTTGAGAGCAAATTTGCCTTCAAAGCCAGGAAAAATTTGCACCGGGAATTTGACCACGGAAGCTCTTCGAAAAAGGCCAAACAAAGCCGAGCCAGCAGAAGTCGGGAAAAAATCATGTTCTTTGTGACTCGATGATGTTGAGAATTCCCTGGTCAGTGTGGGTTGTGATCCCCTCTCCCTGAGGGCTAATTTTAAAACATCGTTGGGAAAG